CACAAAAAAAAAAAAAAAAAAAAAAAAAAAAAAAAAAAAAAAAGAAAGTGCAGGATCTTTGGAGTCAGGTATGAATGCTGGCCTTGTTTTGGTTGTTAAGTAAGATACCATGCACGAAAGAACCCCCCACAACAGATCAGTAGTTATTCCTTCCTTCCCTCCCTCCCCAATTCTCTTAGCATTTTTAAATCTAATTTGTGGAAAATATGGAATTTTTCCTTGAAGTTTTTTTGCCCTTTGCCTGGTTGAGTATAAGTTTCTTGAAGGCAGTGTTGTATCTGTGTCCCCTCACAGCATGCAGAACAATATTTTTTATTTATAATAATTTTTAAATGTCTGTCAAATGAATGAATATATTTCAGGCACTGGTAAGTAAAATGGAGTGAGAGTAGAGAGGACTTTTATGCTGGCCTAGAGTGCATGGCATGTCCGTTGGGAAGTCAGGGCAGCAGCCAAGGCAATGTGTAGATATTAACATGGAGCCCGACGAATGCTCCCGAATGGCGAGAGATCTTTGAACTCTAGCTTGTTAACTTACAGAGTCGTCCATCCCCAGGAGGACCAGCAATGGGATGGTGGTCATCCCTCCGTGCACCCATTCCTGTAGAGACACAAAGCCATCCCGGTCGTAGTCCATCCCTTGCAACATCTCCTTCAATATCTGTGGGATCCAAAGAGCGGCAACTGTCCATCGCCATCCTTGACTTTTCTACCTCCCTCTGCCCTCTGCTTCCTCTTCTGTCCTGTTTTGCCCCTTTCTCCTCTAATTCAGAGTGAGGAGAGCAGTGAGAGAGCAGCCTGGGAGTGAAGAGGTCGGGTTCCACACCTGGCTCTGCCCTCACCTCTGCCTCTCCCTGCCTTGGGCCAGTCACCCCCACTCTCTGGCTTCTGGTTTGCTCATCTGTGAAAATGGAAACAATATTACTGTGTTTTCAGCACTGTAGTGAGGATGAGAGAAAACGTATATAAAATGTCTAATATAATTCCTGACACATAGGAGTCCCCCAATGTAATTATTATTAACAATATTATCTGGTGATTGAGAAAAATCTGTGAAATTCTTATTAGCTCTAAGATCTTTGATCTATTAATTCCTCTTATAAACTTTTTGCTGTGGTGAAAATGTCAGGGGGAGTTATTATTTCAGGTATGTTTACACTTTTTCCCGCTGCCCACATTTTTCCTATCAGAGAAGTGGGAGGTCAAGGTGTAGGACGCCGAAGAAGCTGCCTATGAGATGAGTCTGGGAGCACCTGCACAATAAACGTCCCCATCCAAGTCCCGAGTGTGTCCGCCCCTCATCTTGGAAACTCACTCAGAGGTCACCCCATGCTTACGGAAACTCACAGGCCTTAGCTCTGTGGGATCCCACTCCAGGTACTGGGCAATATGCAGCATTTGGTTGACAATTCGATCCATCTCCTAGAAAACATCAAAGGGAGACAAGCAAAGACGTGTTTTCAAGAGCAAAACTCAAGATGGACAGGGCTGAGCTTGAGAAGAAGGTGGTGCTGGCATGTCATGCTTTGTTTCTGCCTTGACCACACAGCCCAGTGGACAGCACATGCTCACAAGAAGCACAAGCATGCATAAGCCAGAGGCAGTGGAAGGCCACTGAACCTGACCTCCTCCTGGACCCACCTGGACCCACCTTCTTTCCCCTATTCTGTCCTTTACCTTGGAAAAGCACTGCTGCTTCCTTCTTCTTTGTGATTGTAGCTCCTACAAATACGTACACACCAAGGCACCTATCTCTTCCCCCTTCTTATCACTCCTCATCCCCAATTTTAGCAACCTGGGATTCATCTACCCCTGTCAGGGGTCAATTTCACTTAGATGGATGGTTACTGTGTTGATCCTAAATCAGGCACTATGATTTAGATTCCCTTTGGTATCTCCTCCATTTCCTCTGAGCGGTGGCCCAGCCCTGAGCCCAGGACTTCGTGATCAGGAAATTCACGAGGGATATGTTTGCCTGATAAGTGAGCCTTTTGGTACCAAGGCCAGGCCCCATCTAAAACTTCACAGAATTATTGGATGCTAAAGTGTCAGTGCACGGAGAGCCCCACCGAAACATGTTGGACTGAGGAGGCATTTGGTGTCAAGGGCACCGTCTATATGTTCATAGTAAGATTGCTTTGGGAGGACATGTTGGTGGACTGAACAAGGTTGAAAAGTGTTTTCTCCACCAGGTAGAATGCTGGGTCAAAACAAGCAAGCCAAAACCCAACAGGAATTTTAAAAATTGAGCTGCATTTAAATTAAACAATAATCCATTGCAAAACTACAGGGTGCGGCTGTAGATGAGGGTAGGGAAGTAGGACAGGGCTTGGCAGAAGTTTCAATGGAAAAGAGCTTATGAATCTAGTTGGGTCCAAGATTCAGTGAGAAAATGTGAGTCAGGAACCGAGAATTAGACTCAGTCTTGGGCTGTGTGAATAGAAGCAGAGTGAGCGGACTCTGGGAAGAACGAGTTTTCCTGATGTCTACCCTGGTCAGGCCACATTTTGATATTAAAGAGTGGAGGGGTAGGTTTTGTTCTGTGCCATATTTTAAGAATGACATTTACAAACCAGAGCTTGTCCGGAGTGGATATTTAAGCCCATCTTATGAAAAACTGTGTAAGAATTGGGAAATTTTACCTTGGAGAAGATTTTAGGGGAGACGGGATAGCACCTGCAAATACTTGAAGGCCTATTGTGTAGAATCAGTTTTCTACGCATCCTGGTCAGCTACAGAGGGTAGAAGGAAGTAGAGGGATGTAGGAAGTGGGGAATTGAGGGTTGGCCTATTTTGGCCTCCCTGCTGGTTGCGGGAGAGGGAGGGGAGCAGGAGGTTTTGTGTTGAAAACCATTCCCTGGCAGACAGACAGGAGCCTCGTGTGCAGAAGGAAGCCCTCTCTAGCAGTCATCCCTGCAGTGGAGTAGCTGTCCTAAGGTCGTGGGTGACCTCCTCTTACTGGGAGTGTCCAGAAGGAGGCTGGGAGTACACCTGTCAGGGATTCCACGTGGGGAGTTGGTAACTCTTTTGAGACTTGCTTCAGTCTGCCAATGTTACCTTTACAATATATACAGAATTAAACCATTTCTTACCACCTACGATGCTTCTACCGCGTGCAAGGTTACCATCATTTCATGACTTGACTATTTCAGTAGCTTCCTAATTTGTATGTCTGCTTGCACCCCTACAGTCTATACTCAACACAGCAGCTAGAGTGATCCTGTTAGGGCATAAGTCAATCATGTCACGCCTCAGCTCAAGGTCTTAATGGTTCTCCATTTTTCCAGAGTAAAAGACAAACCCTTTCAATAACCTATAAGGCTTGATATGCTTTGCAAACTCCCACCCCCACCCCATCCCATGACTTACTCGCTTATCTCCTTCAGGTCTCTGTCCAGGCGCCCCCTCCTCAGGGAGGCCTTCCTTGGCCACCTTTGCTAACCCTGCAGCTCCCACCAACACTCCCTGTCCCTCCCTTATTTTTCTTCTCAGCATACATCTCTGCCTAACACGTAGTTTACTATGCTGCTTAGTGTCTATGCTTGGACTAGAATGAAGGCTTCCTGAGGCCATCCTACTAGTGTATGTGTCCCCGGTACTTAGTATAGTGTGCAACACGTGACAGATGCTTAGTCAATATGTGTTGATGAGATGATTGAGAGTCTGTGATTCTCTGCTTGTTCCCTCCAATGACAACCATGAAAGCACCCTGGTGTTTAAAGGAAAGGGGGATGACTCAGTTGGTCTAGTGGGCTTGTTCCCTTCCTTCTTGCCTCTGGTCTGACTTGGCTCATGTGACTCAACCTCAGTGGCTGCCCGATAATGAGCCCTGTCCCCGACATTGCCAGTCATGAGCGCAGGGCCCGTCTGACTTCATTTGCCTTCTGCCCTCTCTGCCTCCTTCCTTTCCCGTTCTTCCTCTCACTCCACCATCCCTGACCTATCCCTGCCTCTCCCTGAAGGGTTGGGGGCGAGTCTCAAGCTTTCCCAGGTGTTATCTCATTTTTTAAAGCTCAGTTCTTTTTTTATCTGTAAAATGATTAAAATATTTCCTTTCTCCTAGGATTATTATGAGGATTAACATGTAAATGTTAAGCCAAATCAACAGTGCTTGGAATACAGAAAGCACTCAACAGGTGTTATTTATTTTTATTTTCTTTTGTTAATGAACATTTATATATAACATTTCATATGTATAAGGTACTGTCCTGTGCACTTTATCGTTATTACTTAATCTTCGATAATGCTTGAGGTAGATACTACCATGGAAGCTAATTTATCTTTTTTCCTAAAATGTTACTGTGCTACTCAAAAACATCCTCAGTCATGTTCTAGCTGCAGGGAGGTGATGTAGGACAGGAAGATCTGGGAGAGAAATGTGGACAAAGGACAAAATGTTCATTTATGGGATCTGGAGACCTGTATTTCATTCAACCAGAAGGTAGAGATCCTGTCTGTGGTTTCAGAAGTCAGCGGAGCAGGAGACAGAGCTAAACATTTCTTCATTTTCCTCTCAGTCTTTACTTTTCCTTATTTTTTTATTTTATTTTTTTGGCAGCCGGACAGCACAGGGATCCAAACCCTTGACCTTGGTGATACCAGCACCACGCTCTAATCAACTGAGCTAATCGGCCAGCCCCTATTTTCCTCTCATTCTTTAAAACCCTTCATCATGCTGCTTCCTCTGGGGAGGCTCCCCCACTGACCCTTCCCTGATGCATCCCTCCCAGTCACATTATTCCTGCTAAGCTGCCCTTGTGTCATTTCCTTCCAGGTGTTTTAATGTCTCTGCACCCTGTATTTTTTTTTCAGTGGTATGTCTCTGGTTGAGTCTAAGTTCCTTAAATTAGGGTCATGGGCTTCCGATTCTTTGGGAGTCCTGGGCAGAGGCAAGCGGCACATGCTGATGACTCACTGAGCAGGTGACTGAACGATGTCAAGGACAGACCTAGTGTTGTTCCAGGACCCTGGGCCTAGGTGACTCTCTCACACTGGCCCCTCCCTGGTCCTACTGTGCTTGAGGAATAGAACTAGAAAGGCCTGAGTGAGCATCTTATTCAGCAATGTGGCCTTGGCCAGTCTTTTCATCTTCCTGTGCCTTAAATAATAATACACCCTTCTAGGGTTATTGTGAGGTTAAAATGAGACAATGCGTTTTAAGTGCTCAGCAAATATAAGGTGTTCAATGGTGAGAATCATTACTGTTACTACTGCATTGGCAAAGGGTGGGAATTCAGGCTATTATTTCCAAAAAGATATATGCTTGGTTTTTAAAAAGAAAAGCTTATCTTTTCTTTTTAATCGTTTTTAATCATTAAAACTAAGGAAGGATTTGAATTGATTTGGTTTAGTAAAAAAAAAAAAAAAAAAAGCCAAAATGAAAACTCCACGGGACAAATTACCGAATTGTACAACAAAAACCCAGCTTTTGATAGAGAAGGAACCAAAAGATTAAAAGAATGTGAAGAGACATAATAACCAATGGCAATGTATGAACTTTACTTGGATCCTGATTCAAACAGTTAAAAACAACATAAGACAATTGAGAAAACTGGAACATTGAATATTTGATCATAGTAAGGAATCATTTTCTTTAGATGTAATAATGGTGTTGTGGTTATGTTTAAGAAAATGAATCTGTGATTTTAGAGGTACATACTGAACTATTCACAGATGAAATTATAGCCTGGAATTTGCTTCAAAATACTCTAAGGTGGAGCAAGTGGGTGGGAGGTATAAACCAAACAAGATTGACGATGAGTTGATAACCATTGAAGCTGGGTGATGGGTACATGGAAGTTCATTATATACTCTACGTTTATCTATCTTTGAAATTTCCAATAATAAAATGTTTTAAAATTTCTTTTCATTGTTATTACAAGACTGTCTGAGAGTAACTAATACGAATAATCTGCCACATTTTCTTTGGTGGTTATTAACAAATATAATGCCTAAAACTAAAAATCCAGTAAAATATTGGAAATAATTTGACATTTCTCTTTTAACAATAGCCAGAAGAAAATGAGTGGGTGGGAGGTATAAACCAAACAAGATTGACGATGAGTTGATAACCGTTGAAGCTGGGTGATGGGTACATGGAAGTTCATTATATTCTCTACTTTTATCTATCTTTGAAATTTCCAATAATAAAATGTTTTAAAATTTCTTTTCATTGCTATTACAAGACTGTCTGAGAGTAACTAATATGAATAATCTGCCACATTTTCTTTGGTGGTTATTAACAAATATAATGCCTAAAACTCAAAATCCAGTAAAATATTGGAAATAATTTGACATTTCTCTTTTAACAATAGCCAGAAGAAAACATAAATCTGCTACATTTGCTGCCAAATTAGCACTTATGACTTGCAATTGTTAACACCTCAAACCTATGGGGGAGATTTCAAGCTCAGCTAATGAGCAAAGTGTTTCATTTTGGTTTTGCTGAGTGTTAACCCTTGGCAGACTTCCCTTGCTAATGTTCGAGTTTTACCGACTAGTCTTATTTCTATGGGGGAGATTTCAAGCTCAGCTAATGAGCAAAGTGTTTCATTTTGGTTTTGGTGAGTGTTAACCCTTGGCAGACTTCCCTTGCTAATGTTCGAGTTTTACCGACTAGTCTTATTAACAAATGGAATTTTGACTTTTGCTATAACATGGATTTTTTTCCCCCTTACTGTCTACCTTAAGTTCTCAAGAGAAGCAAAGACGATACATATTTTTGAACAAGGTCCTATCATCTCCTGTTTGAAAAAGCATTCCTGCAGGCTCACAGAGGCCAGCAAAACCATCCCGGAACTGAGTCATCGACAAGACTGCAGGCTCTTTCAGCCAGTGTGGACTTTCCTTTTTGCCACCAGCTCTTACTCTTCTGCAGATATGCTTTTGAAACCAATTTAAGGAGCACCCCCAATCCAAGCTCAATTCCTCCAATTAACTAGCCCTCTTTCTCCAGAGGCTGAAGAGTCTGGGGGTGGAATGGAGAAATGGAAATAAGCCCCGACGAGACATAGGTTGACTAGATACCAAGAAAAAAAGAGAATTCCTCATAGTTAAAGAGTTGCTTGGGAAAGGAATAGAAGGAGGACCGATGTTGAACACCTTTCCTTGAAAAATCTGTCAAGAGGGGTCAGCCGCTTTCTGATTGGAGGCTTTCAGGAAGTCCTGCTAGCAAAGCAAGGGAGTCTTGACCCCCCAATGAGACCGTTTCCCTGTCCAAATTTTGGTTTTCAATGCCAAGGTCTCAGGTGCCCTTCCCACTCTGTATATAACTGGCACTCTGTCCTAGGGTGGATTCTAGGAAGCATTGTATCACTGCTGGTGAGAGGACATAGAGGCACCTGGACCAAGGAGGCAGTACCCATACCTAAGATCCCAGCTCAATCTCCAGCACGTTTAGGAACGACGGACAGGACCCCACATCTTCCTCTAGGAAAAAGCTGAAGCTCCTTGACAGGACAAGCACTTACACTCTAGCTTGTCCTGAGGTCTCCCTGTCTCCAGCAGGGACAGGTAACACACGACGTCCTTCAGGTACACGGTGGGGGATTCTGAGCTTGAAGTCTGAGCAGCAAGGGCTCCCAGGGGGGTCACAGCCACTTGGTCTTTAGCTGGTGCTCGCTTCTTGGCCGTCTTTGATTCTGTGATAGGTAAAAAGAAAGCATTCAAGGATATTTTGTGTTTAGTAAATATTAAACCCCTTTGTTGCTTCATTCTTTTCATGGTGGAGGCAACCATTTTATATAGCTTTGGTTACATAGATATGATCAAATCAGTGCCTCTAGAAATCCAGTCTGTGGAGTTCACATTCTATGCATGGACCCCATTCTGACTCTTTATAGAGTCTATTTTCTTGTAGGAAATTAATCTATACTCTGTGAGTTTTCAGAAAAGACGATAGTGATTTTTGGTAATATCAATAGTCAACAGGTAAATGTCATGTAGCCTACTTGTCTGGAACACAACCAACTTGTAGGAGTAACTTTGGCTGGGATTTCAAAATGGTAAATGACTAATACACCATTTAAAAAATATATTGGTAAATTTGTCATTTACAATATACCCTCTTGCAATTTTCTTCTCAGATACATTTAAAGATAAAAAAGAAATAAATACTCAAAAGAGAAAGCTGTAATTTCCAGAAACTAAACAGAACTTCAACTAACTGCAAGCCTAATCAGTTGGATTAAGAAAATGTAGGAAGTGATTTATTGTACCACAGCAATAGAGTAAATTTTTTCTCTGAAATTTTTCCTTTCTTACATAGGAAAACTCATCGTTTCTTCCAAACTCGGTCCTCTGGTTCAGAAATATAAGGTCAATTACTAACAAGAAAACCAGACACCTAAATTTTACTGCATGAATTCTTTTTTTTTTTCTTTGAGGCCCATTGAGTGCTATTTCTTCTCCCTCAGCCTCTCTACATGCCCATCAGAAATGATCTCTTCATGTACAATGCACAGAAAACAACTAATCAGGGAATAAATGGAAGACTGGCAGTGGAAAACTCAACTTAGGTTTTGTAATCCTACTAAGCAATAAAGGGCTGGAGGCATAGGCAGAGGTAGAGACAGCCTTGCTAGTAATGCCTGCTGGGAAGGGCAATGTCACCTGTGCACTCTTAATGCAGAGAACCAACAAGCCAAGCAATGGGAGAAAACAGTCCATCTCAGCAGAGCTGTGCTGGATGAAAGCCTGCCAGGTCCTGGGGTTAGGCTGTGGGTCTGAGAAGAATTAACCATCATCCAGATGGACAGTAGAAGAGGCCAAAGGCCACTGACACACTTTGTGTATTACAAAGGGCCCCATGAAGAAACCAAGATGGACCCTATGAAACAGCTGCAAAACAAGGAAAGGAAGCTTCACCCTTAAGTCTCCGAAGACCAGATCTTTGAAAGTAATTTCCTCCTGGACAAGACCCTCAGTAGGTTGCAAGAAGGTATAACCTCTATTAAGCCAGAGCAGAGAGTTTCAGGGGTGAACAAGTACAGATGAAAATACAAAAGGATGAGATAAAGACAGGAATAATGAAATACGGGAGGAGTGTAATGAAATTACATATGCAAGAGAAGTATTAAAATCATCGCTAGAGGAAAAGTCATAGAAAAACATAACTTTATGTAGAAGACAAAAGAGAAAAGTCCTTTGTATTAAGTAGTCCATTATATCCCAAGTTATTACGGTATACTCAGATTATTCGTCCATTAAAACACTATCAATGACATCCACTTCGACTAAAATGGAGTAACAGGGACCAGATTTACCCTTCCACTGGAAACAACTAAACTGGGCAAAAGATACGAAGCAACAGTTTATAGGACGCTGCATATCAGGCAGCACCAAATGGTGATCTCTGAGAAGATGGGAAACAAACAAGATGACCCCTGCAATGGCCACATCTTACTGTTGGGAAAGAGTGTCTAGGCTGCAGTGCAGGGAGGAGAGCCAGGAAGATTCAGGCAGTCTCTCTGAGTTGAGATGGAGCTGGGAGTCTGGGGAGCCCAACTAGAATCCACAGAGCACAGCACTGGAAAGGAGGGAGCTGCACAGAGAAAGAACTCTTGAGATATGCAAGAGCCAGGAAGATTCAGGCAGTCTCTCTGAGTTGAGATGGAGCTGGGAGTCTGGGGAGCCCAACTAGAGTCCACAGAGCACAGCACTGGAAAGGAGGGAGCTGCACAGAGAAAGAACTCTTGAGATATGCAGAAGGTTCCCTTTGAATAATAGTTCCCCTCAATCATTCAGCTGAGTAGTGATTAGCACACTGCAAAGAGAACCGAAATAATGCCTATTCCCACCAACCCTCTATGGGTTGAAACCCTCTATGATTAGAATCCCTCTATGATTCACAAATCATCAGTAGAGTCCTCAGAAGAGTTTTGCCTCAGTAGTGAAGCAAAACTAGCCCTTGAGTAAATGTCTTTCTGGTCCTGTTCAACAAAGCTTAAAAGCTAGACCCCAAAAGGTCAAATTTGCAGGTAACATAATTGTACTCAAAAACGAAGCTCAGGAATATTTGTAGAAATGCAAAAATATGCAGCATACAAGATTTAAGGATGAGATAAAATGAACTATATACAAATTCTTCCAGAAAATTTAAGAGAAGGGAATCTTGCCCAACCCATTTTAGGAGAACACCGTTACTCTAAAGCCCAAACCAGACAAAGACATTACAAGAAATAAATATACATATCAATATCTCTCATGAACATAGATGCAAAAGTTCTTAAAATTTTAGCAAATTGAACCCTATAATATATAAAAAGAAATTAAATAAGACCTAAATAAATAAGGAGATGTCCTGTGTTCAAGGACTGGAAGACCCAATATGTTAAGATGTCAGTTCTTTGTGATCTTGAGTTAAGCCAAGATTTCTAAGGCACAATACCAAAAGCTCAATCCATAAAAGAAAAAAAAAATGATATATTGGACTTCATAAAAATTAAGAAATTTTGCTCTTCAAAAGACACTGTTAGTGAATGAGAAGACAAGTCACAGATGGGGAGAAGATATTTCCAAATCACATATCTGTATCCACAATATATAAAGAACTCTCAAAACTCAAAAAGAAAGCAAAATAATCCAGTTTAAAAATGGGCAAAAGATTTGAATACTCTACTAAAGAAGATATACAGATGGCAATCATGCATATGAAAAGATACTCAACATCATTAAAGCACATGAAAAGATACGCAGCATCACTAGTCATTAGGGAAATGTGAACTAAAACTAGAGGGAGATCAATTACATACCTATTAGAATGGCTAAAAATAAGATTGTCATACCAAGTGTTGCTGAGGATATGGAGCAATGGAAGCTCTCATCACTGCTGGTAGGTATGTAAAATGAACTACTTTTGAAAAGAGTTTGGTAGTTCTTATAAAGTTAAATGTATACCTGCTATAGTACACACAGTCATTCCACTCTTAGGTGTTTACCCAAGAGAAATGAAAGTTGTCCATACAAAGACTTGTACAAGAATATTTATACAGGTTTTATTTGTAATAACCAAAAACTGGAAACAACCCAAATGTCTATCAATAGGTGAATGGATAAACAAATTGGGGAATATCTATATACGAGGATACTTCAAAAAGTTCATGGAAAAATAGAATCAGAAGATAATACAAATCTTTTCATGAACTTTTTGAAGTACCCTCGTATGTATTAGAATACTAATCAGCAACTGAAATATGTGAACTATTGATACACACATGGATAAATCTCAAAATTATTATGCTGAATGAAAGAAGCCAGACCAAAAAGAGTACATACTGTATGATTCCATTTATGTAAAATCCAGACGAAGTGCAGCCTAGTCTATAGAGACAGACAGCAGGTCAGTGGTTGTATGGAATGGGGGGTAGGTGGGTAGGGAGGGTGGGAGAAATGGATTACAAAGAAAACTTTTGGAGATGATGGATATGCTCATTATATTAATTGTGGTGCTGGTTTCACAGGTGTATACATATGTCAAAACTTAATAATTACACACTTTAAATACTGCAATTTATTTTATGCCAATTATACCTCCACAGAGCTATTTTAAAAACGCTATTAGAGTCTTTTCTGAAGATCCTTGGATTGCTAAAGCTATGGTTGGATCTTGAGCCACTCACTGGTTTTCATTAGGTCTACTGTTCACTCCTGTCATGGAGATGCTGGGGTCCAGAGGGACTGAGTGGCACTGGCCCAGCTCCACTAGTGTCCTTCCTCCTCAGACTGCCTTGCATGAAATGCCTCTAACCTATAGCCATCTGAGTACATCCCTCAGGTGCTCATCACACTAGTAAAAACAGACTAACACCCTCTCCCAGACCACAGAGGTTCTGTCCTGGTGCCATGTCACAAACCCTTCCATGGTCTTGGCAGACCTGATTTGTTTCACCTTCTCTCTTAGTCTCTCTATTACTTGTTGCCTTCCAGTCAGGCAGTGTTGCATACTGGAAAGGGTACCAGGCTAGAGACGGGAGAATGAGATTCTAGCTCTGGGTTTGTGCTAAATGGTGTCCACAAGTAGGCTTATTCCCCCACAACCAACCTCAGTTTTCTCATCTGTTAAAAGAGGAGATTGCATTAAAACTGATATTTACCCAAAGACTTGAATGACAGAAATGTTTGTGAATATAATGTTAAGTGAAAAACACAGCTGGATCCAAAATTATATGTATGCAGTGTGATCCCAATTCTGTAAAAAAAAAAATTGTAGAAAAAACCTATAAGGAGAGTATACATACACACACATACACACACAACACACACACAATACAATTGCATTGGTGGGATTATGGGTGATTTTGTTGTTTCTTTCTTTTTACTGAACACAATTTTTTTTAGAGCAATTTTAGGTTCACAGATTTAAAACTAGAGGAGGGTTCAGAGATTTTCCACAGAAACCCTGCCCCCACACAGGCACAGCCTCCCTCAATATCAACATCCCCCACCAGTCCATAGTTTACATTAGGGTTCACTCTTGGTGCTGTCCATTCTATGGGTTTGGATAAATGTATAATGACATGTATCCAAAAATTATAGTATCATACAGTGTAGTTTCACTGCCCTAAAAATCCTCTGTGGTCTACCTATTAATCCCTTCCTCCCCCAGCCCCTGACAAACACCGATGTTTGTTGTTGACCTTTGCCATTCGTTGTTTCTTTCTCTATTATTTTTTGTACTCTTCAAATTTTCTACCATGTGGCTATACAAGGGTACTTCAAAAAGTTCATGGAAAATGGAATTAAATGATAACATTAATCTTTCCATGAACATTTTGATATATCCTTTTATAATTGGGACAAATTAAGAAAAAAATTGGGGACTTCCCTCGAGACTCCAATGTTCTGGATTGCTGAAACATCTCAACAGCCTGAAAAACCAAATAAAAACCAGGAGACTCAAGTTCTCTTTGTTCATTCCATTTAGCCCTGGAACTTCATGAAGGGAAGGTGGCTTCAGCCTTTCCTGAGCTGACATTGTGACAATGACAGGTGCTCGGGGCTCTGAGCCCCCTCTCTCCTGTTCATATGGACACAGCATGGGCTCACCTGGCTCTGGGGATGAATCATTTGAAGTGAGTTGTGTTAGATCTGAGTTTGGAGACTCATCTTCTGGCCCTAGACAGACCATATCAAATAAAAATTTAATTTCTTCCTCTGGCTTCTGCCTGGGCAACAGGAAAATGTTGGAATTTTCAACAAATGGCCTGATCCAAGGTGACTCCAGGACTCAGCTCTTCCTTGCTGGCAGAGGCCCCTCTCCATGCTTCCTGTCTGGCCCAACATCCTTGTTTCTGGTGAATAGGGGCATCTAATTAAGACATCCATGGAAGGGGGCCTAGCAGGGAAAGAATTTTCTCCTTTTAATCTCAAGTCTGAAGCGAAGATGAAAAAGTGCTATACATCTCCCAGGCCAAGAGTCAGATAATTCCCCTTTCATGAGGTGACCACGGCAGAATGATTTTTCCTACACACAAGGAAAATGGTGCATTGCAAATCTCTTCTCTGGGAGGAAATCTCTGGAAGTTCCTCTTTTAGACCCAGAATGATATAGCTATTGCAAATAAGCATCGTGGTCAAATAAGTCAGCCAACTTCCATCACGGTCATTGATCATCTTTTCTCAAATATCATGTAATGACTTATCCCCAATACGTTCTTCCCTGATACTTCAGAAACCACTAAAACAAATCTTGCCCAGACCGTTTGGAATCTCCGTGAATGAAACGTAGTTCTCCCAAGTTCCTCTTGAAGTTCCAGATTCTTGGACTAAGAAAGTCTCTGGGTAAAGAATTTGAGTCAGGATGTTTTTCACCATTGTCTTTCTTGCTGGGAGTTTAAAATCTCAAAGTTTTCAGTTTATCCTTTTCCTTCCTACTATGGGAGTGATTTATGTCAGAATATGCCTCCTCTGTTCCATTTAAGATGTAAGACTTATTTATGCCTTGAATCCATTTCACCAGGGGGCCATGGACTAGCATGGCTGGGTGGGGTGTGGGGCAGGGATGGATGAGTCTACACTTTTGCAGAGTCTTGCCTTGCTGCTGTCCCTGAAGGCATTGGGAAGTAGTGACACTCTTAGTCCTTGCTTGTTGGAGCTCCTTGAGCAGCCTGGGATTTGCTGAGCTTATCATCCAGAGGTAACTCTCCTTTCCCAACCATGCTGTGCTTTCCATCTGTAGTGAATTTTTGATCTCACCAGTTTGTCAGTTAAACACTAAAACTCTGTAAACCTTCCAGTTTCCCTTATTGCTGGGCCAGGAAAAAAAGATTAGAGCTACATCTAGTGTCCAGTTGAAAGCTCTCTCATCCTAGGCTCACATTATAATTAATCTCCCTTCTCCTTCAGAGATCTATCTATCTTGTTTTTTATGTATTTGAAAAAATATAATAAAACTGAATTCTTTATCCCCTGGGTATATCCCAAGAGCTGGAATTCACCTTTGAGTATATATAAATCTTTTCAATAGAATGATAACGCACAGTACATAAGGTCTGACTCTCAAATCTTTGTATTTTAAGCTTCAGGAACAACCTGGGTGAAAGAGCCCATGAGAGATTGTTCATGAGAATAGGATGCCTAGCTGACACACCAGGAGACGGAAGGTGTAGACTGAAGGAGATCACGGCAGACCACGAAGAGTTACAATACAGTGTACTTCTAGAGGGTGGCCTGAATAATAATTGCTAATATTTGTTATTAGCAATTATTGAACATTTATTATGTGCCAGGCACTGTTCTAAGCATTTACATATACAACTCACTTAACCTTCATAACAACATTTATTATTGCCTCATTTTACAGATGAGGATATCAAAGCACAGAGACATTGTTCAAACATGCCCACGGTTACAGAGCTAGGTAGTGTCCGAGCTGGGAATCGAACCCAGGAAGTCTGGCTCTGAAGTCCAGATTCTCAACCAATATGTTCTATTGCCTGATCCAACTTAGGTTGACAGTGCCCAGGAAACTTGTGTTGGACATAAGAACAGAAGTCAGGGATTGGGAATCGAACCCAGGAAGTCTGGCTCTGAAGTCCAGATTCTCAACCAATATGTTCTATTGTCTTATCCAACTTAGGTTGACAGTGCCCAGGAAACTTGTGTTGGACATAAGAACAGAAGTCAGGGATGGTAACCTTTGCTCCTTCCCGTTTTCTTATGAGTTTCTGGTCTTGGGCCTAGGCCTGTCAACAGCACAGAGGAAAGGCTTCCTATTGACAACATTCCAGGAAAGATTCCACATCTGTCACGGGCCTATGGGCAGCAGACACCACTATAGCAGCCCCGTTGAGCATGCAGCTTTGGTGCCTCTCCATGGAAGCAAACCACCAGGCATCACAAGAGTGACCACTGTTTCTTCCCTTGGCATAGGAAGGAGAGCAGAAGCTATGAGGTTGGACAATTCTGGACTGAATCCCTGGCTCCACAGGTCATGCCAGTGGTATATACTCTCTTTTTTAAAATTTTTTTATTTTTTTATTTTT